TTACATTATATTCATATAAATGACTGAAAAATATTATATAGTAGCAAAAAATGTTCTATTTTCATCACTCTTCGTCTTGCGTACAAATAAAAATTTGCTATCTTTAGCTGATGAGCAATCCTCTACATCAGATATGGAAACACTTCCCGACTCTATTTCTGTTATTCCGCTTTTTAAGCCTGTCTAACCTGCCATTCGAGCACATAAAAGAGTTTCTATAGATGGTTTTAAAAATCGGTATATGTATTTATTTTGAAGTACAAATTTCAAAATTATTACAAAGAAAATGGGGGGGNATTTTTTGTTGGGATATGTTGCAGAGAATGATTACTTTTAATCACAATGACAAGATCTTACAAACTTTATCTAAAAAATAATTTTCTGTAATTTATTACATTTAGACCCGTTTCAGAACAGCAACTATTTTTACATGAAATTATTTTAAAGAACCTTATTTTTAATTTTGAAAAAATGCTTGATGTTTTTGGAATTATTCAAATCACTCTTGAGAGTGAGTTAAATAGTTCCTACTTAAAAATTTGTCCCGATAAATATTCAAAACATTTTTCTTCTCTCTATTTTATTATATTTTATAACCGTCGTTCAACAGTAGACCCAATTTTGGGTTTACGATTACCAATGTTTAACTCCGTAACCTTGCAATTTTGAACCCATTCCAGAAGACAATAGAGAGTAAAACATTCGCTATTATTTGATATATCAGGTTTTAGTATCTTTAAGACACTTTAATTAAACAAATTCATCATCCTTAACCCTTTATTTTATAACCGTCATTGAACAGGCGACCTAATATTTGGGTTTACGACAAATAATGTTCAACTCCGTAGCTTTGTAATTTTGAACCCAATTCAGAAGACAAGGGAACTCCTGGATTAAGTACCGGGAGAAATTTTGCCTTCGTTGAGGGATTTTTGATGGAACTAACCCGCATTTGCGTTACATGAACCCATTCCAGAATCTAATCAATCTATTAACATAAGATATTAAATGCTGGCGCTATCTATTTTGGTTATAAATTACTAAATAAAAGTAACCAGGAAAATGACAGATTTTCATGTGACAAACAAATTATTAACAGAAAAAATCATTTAAAAAAAGTTTTTGTAAATAATACCCTCTGCGTATATTCTAGAAATGCTTACAACGGTTGAGATAAAAAAAAAAACGGTTGAGAGAAAAACCACAAAAATCTCCCACGATTAACCTGACGGCAAGAGGACTGTAACCCATGATTCGTCTACCACTGAGGATATTTAACGTCAGTACTATAGCGGGCGTGAGCAGGGTGTTGAATTTGTATCAACCAGACATCTCTGGTATTCGAACCCGGTTTACATCATTGGAAAGCGAACGCTCTATCCTCAGAGTCACCGCGGTTCTCTTCGGGGTATTTTTTTTTAAAAAAAAGATCACAAGAATTTTGAAAATAAAATTTAAAAGAATAGGCTAATCACTCATATCCGCAGAAGAACGATAATTGATTCCGTCATTTTGTTCCGACGTGTTGCCAACCATTCTGATCGTAATTTTCATACCTTATAGGCATTTGGGACACGCCCCTTACGCCCTCCCCACTCTGAGATGGAAATTAAAAACTTCCTACTTGATAAAATAATGAAATAATTTCTGACCCATTTACCAGTCTACTGGTTGACCGTCAAAATATTGCGTGATAATTTCTACAGATGGCCAACATAGTTCATGTTCTTAAAGAGTATTACGTTATCAGACTGAATAGCTGCATATATTTTCTCACGGGGAGCTTGGAATGAAATAAAATGGGACGCTACGGTACTGTAACTTTTCTTACTTTCATAAACTATTGGATAAAAAAATATACTTTTTACTAAATAAATATGTTTTAATATTACCAGGTATTAAAAATGCTCTTAAAGTTTGAAATTAAAATAACAAAATTCCTTTTAAAATTTGGCAAAATTACCATACTTTATGGTGACGATACTTCTTGAAAAAAAACAACAACCATAATTCTGAAAAACAACAACCATTAAACCAAAATATAGGGTATTTAAATCCTTCATTTAGTAATTTTTCCCGGTTACAATTTACCGGCAATTCTGGTTTGAAAATAATACTTTTTATTACTATACATTCAGTAAAAAAAAAATACAAAATTGAAAGATAAATTAAACTGAATAAATAGTTTCATAATATGCTCTAGGGTATCGGAAAAAAATTACCAAATTTTTCCACAATTACCAAATTTTATTACATGTTACAAAACCGTATTTAATTGATAATTTGACCTAAATCATTACCAAAGTGATTCGGTGAAAATTGCTCTGCATTTTGCTGTTTACATAGAGCCAAAAATATAGTAATTTTACCATATTCTGGTAGTTTTTACTATATTTTTTTCCTGAGTGTAATTTTCCTATAATGGATAAATTGTGCTAATAAAGTTTATTACTTTTTTCCGTCTGAATAAAACGTGAAGCATTTTTTTTTACTCAGATACTGAACATAGTAGTTGTATCGAATGTAACCATGCGTACTGTTTCAGTATTTCAGAATATGTTTAACTAATAATGCATAATGAAATACATATTTTGACATGATTTAGCAATTAATACGTAATATAAACATAGGAAGTATGTAAATTTTATGAAAATATAAAAATTAATATAAAAATGTATTAAATACTCAAGTTTTATATTTTTATTTCCATGACATAATGAGAAATAAATGAAGGCGAATATCACGCTCCTAAATTAAATATTTAAGTAATTTTTGCTCTATATTTTGCTTCATAAAATACACTCGACACCGGGCACCTCTTTTACATCGGATTTTGAAATTCGCCAATGTTGCCTTCGTTTAGCATTTTTTCCGAGAACTATTTTGACAGTTTGACTTTAAATTTTACTCATGTTTCTAAGATCTAATTTTAAAACAACACATAAGATATTTTTTTAAAAAATTCCTTGGTGTGAAAATTGTTTAAAAAAAACTTAGTTTGTAAGAAACATTGAGATATTAAATTTTGTGTTTGACGAAGAAAATATTTTCAATTTAAAGCTGGTCAGTATGAAAAAATACGTAATAAGTTTTTTTTTTAATTTTTAACGCACACCTAATAAGTCAGTCTTTTCTTTTTTCTTAAAAAAAAAAAAAGATATTGTTGAGCATTTTAAAGGTTGACACTTATAATTTTTAAAATAGAAGTAATTGAAAAAATTTGGCAAAAATGGGGGGAAAGGAGAGAAAGTAGTAATGTTACAATACATTTTGGCAAATTTCTTCGGAAAGGGGGACACCAGATCAGGAGCTATCCACGTCGTCTGACCGCGTGGCACTCTCACCATGGCAGTTAAAAAATACAGCCCTGAAAGACTTGGTAAGGTGCTTGTGAGGAAAGTTCTTTTTTAATCTTTTAATTAAAAAAAAACTGTTTATACCATATGAAAAACCATTTAAAATAATATTTTGAGGAATAAAATGAAACAAAAAAAAATCTATAAACAAGTAAAAGTTGAGTGATCTGCTAAAACTTATATATTTCCAAGCAAATTACAGCATTTTTTAATGGAAAATACTTTTATATAATGACTAATGAAAAATATCTAAAAATGAAATAAGACAAATATTTTTAAAAACCATGCTTACAAAGTGAACTAGAAAAGAATAGACCGTATACATAAATATCGTCATCGCAAACTTGTGTTCAAAAAATAAGGTAGGACCGGAAATGCATTTTTATCTTTAATCTCTACTTTGAGTAAATAAAAGGCAATTAAATAAGTAGTAAATCGAAATAAATATGAAATTAAATAAATTAAATTAAAATATAAATTACGTTTTGATACAATTAAAGATATCGTAACACTAGCTTCGTAGAAAGTCATCGATGTTTAGACTTCTGCCAAATTCAAATTGGCTCTAAATATTAATTAGTTCGGGAAACGACAGAAATTAGTATTTTTACGAGGCACAAAAATTCATTTAAAATTTGAGCACTATTTTTAAAATCGATGAGAAGATGTTAATTGTCTCTAATTCATGCATATTTGTTTCGAACACTAGATATAATATAATTTATACATTAGTGTTTAAAATACATTTTTTAAAAAAAGTAATTTAATATCTTAACGTTTGCGCTAAAATAGTAATTATTTTGAGTCGACACATTACACCTCAGCATTTTCTAAAAAAGTCATTTTCATTAAAAGTAATATAGTAAGAGATTTTATATAAATCAGTTAAATGCTATTTGATTATGAAATGAAAAATAACTGCTAATCTTAATTAATTAAGTTATTTTTTGAAGATAAGTGAATATAAAAAACTCAAATTTCTTTATTAAACATATAAATCCTTTAAAACAGTTTTTTGTTTTAAAGGATTTTCATTAAAATAAATATAAGGCAATTTCATTAAAATAAATATTTCATCAAAATAAATAATAAGGCCATTTTCATTAAAATAAATATAGTAAGAGATTTTATATAATTAAGTTAAATACTATTTGCTTATGAAATGAAAAATAACTGCTAATCTTAATTTATTTATTTTCTGAAGATAAGTGAATATAAAAAACTCAAATTTCTTTATAAAACCTATAAATCCTTTAAAACAGTTTTTGTTATCAGATTTTAATCAGCTTTCTTTTTATGTTAGGTTTTTTAAAATAGCATATCAATTCATTTTGAGCAGCAGAAATGTGAAGTTGATTTCAAATAAAACTGTAGTGATCTGAATATATTCTACAGTTTAAATTTTTTTTATGTTGGCACAGTTTCGAAAATATTAACTAGGTAAAACCTGTTACTTAAATATATTACAAGTTAGAAAAAAGATAAACAATTAATTTTAAGGCCAAATCTTAACCTTGACGAGGAAACATGGAATCTAATTTGTAATTCAAATAATTTTCCAACTCCGCAATTATAAAGACCTTCACGAAACATGAACAGTTACAAATTACGCAATTAATATAGATTTTATTCCAATACACTTACCTGTTACATGTAGGACCAAGAACGCTTGTAAATTAAGAATCAGTACTACGTAAGTTGTACGCATTTTCGGTGTTGAGCTGAACCAAAGGTAAACACATAATCAGTAACCGAATCGTAAAGGGATTTTTCTTTGTCATCTGACCTTGTTAATTTTTGTGCCCTGAGGAATAGCGTGTTCATGTCCTCGTTCATTACTGCTGAAGAAATCGAAAGTGAAGTCCCCACAATTACCCTCAGCTATCTACAATTCACTTTCGAACAAGAATTGTTAAATAAAAAATCGTTTGGGTCAGTTGCTGAAACGAAAACTTGTTCGAGTTATCAATACGGCAATTAAATATTCGATTTGTTGTGAAAGAAACGCAGTTTTCCTGAAAGAAAGTCATTGCAAGTCCTTAGCCATTTTGAAGAGATTACTTTCGTTTGAAGAGTTTTGGAATGATTGGAAAAAGTTTTTGAAAATACTTTTTTTTTTTAAATTTCATAAAATTTTTAATATTGATTTTTTTTCAAGATCTATAAATTAACTTTTTTTAAATTAATAATTCTTTTTGTTAATTGTTTTTATGTTTTTATGCACCGAAAATTCCATTTTTATTTGTAGTATAATTTGCCAAACATCCAAATGAAGATTAAATGTAATTTGTACTGCATATGGATAATGCTAAATAACGTAAATTAAATTCAGTTTTTGTGCCATTATTTGGGTTTAATTCCTGTTGTTTAGATTTATGAATAGCATAAGTATTAAGTTATTCTTCCTGTAGTGGATCAAAATTGCGATGGCATGTCTTCTGATCCTCTTCAATGATGTTTCCCAGACCGTCGCCAATAGCCCATTGTGCAGCTGTAGTGCAATGTAAATAAAGTACCTACCTCCATGTTTTGTTTATTGTCTTTAACCCGTTCTTAATAGTTCTGCGCCTTGTCACTTTAGCTCTATCCCTCTTTCGTTTACCCTTTGTTGTCCAGTCTATAGAGCCTGTTTTACTTTGAATTTGCTGGGTTTTCAAAAATGTGTCCAATCCATCCACATTTACGTTTTCTGATTTTTAAATCTATTGGTTTTTTCTTAATCTGCAGTGCGGAAAACATGAATCCGCTGTATAGATTAACATAAATGTTAAGTTCAAACCCTGCCACACCATATTGGTTAAATAATATGTTAGAGCGAAATCGGTTGCATTGATTAATAAAATTGTTTTGTTTCAGAATAGTCTGTTAAATTGATTATTCAAATATTATGTTAACGAAAAGTCTGCTCTATTGCTTAGTTTAAATGTTATGTTAGTGTATAATCTACTTCATTAGTAAAGAAAATATTATGTTAAAGCATTATAGATAAGGATCAAAGTGGTTTCCTTAAAATTGAAAAATGATCTACTGTTTCTTATTGAAAATGACATCCATGAAAAATTTTATAAATAAGACCACTTATTTTATGATTTTTAAACGAAACAATTAAAATTTTCAAAAGTGTTACTTAATTATCTGGGTATACTTAAAAGTTAAAAATATAAGTCATATTCATTCCTATTAAAGGGGCATTTAAAAAGGAACTTTTTCTAAAGTTATCTAGATTTCTTCATGATCTAGATTCTTTATATAAAAACTTCATTAAATTTTAAATATCGAATTGTTCTAAATAACAAAAAGTTGAAAGCTGTAAGTTATTTCAATTTTTAAAAAATTCTATCCACGAAAGAATGTATTAAAAAAAATTCTTTTTTATAAGGTTTTAAGTAGAATAATCTAGATTTATTTTATGACCATTTAATTATCAGAGTAGATTCCGAAAACCTAAAAGTTGAAACTTAGTTGAGGTCATTTCCATTTTTTCGAAATTATATATATGAGAGAATGCATTGAAGAAAGCACTTTTTCTAAAGTTTCCTGTAAGACAAACTAGATTCATTTTATTAATACTTAATTAGCTGAGTAGATTCGGAATACCTTTAAGTTGAAAATTATGAATCATTTCCAATTTTAAAAATGATATCTATCAGAAGGGGAATTGAAGAATGCACTTAATATTAAGTAAAACAATCAAGATCCTTTTTCATAAAGATTTAATTAATTAACCGAGTAGCTTCCGAATACGTGACTGCCGAAAGCAAAATGAGTTCATAATTCTCTTTCGAATAATTTAATTCAGCGTCCATTTCGTCTTTGACTTCCTCTTCCGGTTTATGACGTGTAGTGTTTCTGTCTCGTTTTCATTCCACAGTGATGAATATATCAATTGTATTTATTTCTCTCCGTGAAGCTGACAAGTATAAATTTTATTTATTATGGCGAGTTTTATTTTTAGCTGTTAAGCTTGTCTCTGCTAAAGTATGTGTCAGAAATGAATAAAGTTTTAACAATTGTTAAATGAAACAATTAGAGCTTATAAAATACGGTATTTTACATAGCAAAAGCATTTTATGAATGTGCAATAAAGTTCCACTTATCCTAACTTCATTAATCCATAAACATGGGTAATCTGTACAGGTTATGTTGAATTCTGAAGAAGCAATCGTTAAGCAAAGTTATGTACCATCGCAACGAAGTTGATAGACGTGGTCTCAGTTCTCATCCTTGGACTGTGGAGTGTCTCCTATAAGGACTGGTTTTTCCACATACTAGAACAATTTGGAGCATTTGCCCCTTAAATAATGAACTTTTAAATTGTAGAACATCTTCTTTGACGGGTTGCTTCGTCGGAAATGCTCTGAGCCATCATCTCAACAAATCGAAGAAATCTACTATTTCTCTTGTTGGGAGGATACGAATTTCGTCAAAAAAATTGGCTTATTTGAACATATCGGTTAATATGATTGATTAGGAAGCACAACATAGAATGAAAAAAAGTGTAATTTAATGAGTTCGCAAACCTTTCCAGAAGTCGAACCAAAACATTCAACTTAACTAGCGAACAAGTGAACCCTTGGCTCTTGTAGCATCTAGTCAAATAAAGGAAATGGTATACAAATCAGATAAAAAAAAATGATGTAGAACTCGCTGAGTGAACTTAGCTGATACACGAGTGAGAGAGCTGTTTCGTCAAGCATTTCCCAGCTTTGAGTTTCATTAATTATCACGAGATTTCGTGATGAAATTGTTGTCATAAATAAATAATACAGTATAACAGTATATACAGATAAAAAGAGTGCAAATCGTCTAAAAAGAGTGTTTTATTTCTGAGAGGTGTATATGCCGTTGGTTAAGTGAAAAACAACCCGGCTTTTGCATAAAGTGAACTTCATTTGTTAGGCTTATTGCTGTGAGCTTTCTATGCGCATTGGTACAGGAATTTCGGCAGTTTGCAAAAACTCATATTTAACATATAGCNACTGTTCCCGTACCCCTGGGGGTACGCGTACCACACTTTGGGAAACACTGCATTAAGTGAACGTCATTTGTTAGGCTTATTGCTGTGGGCTTTCTATGCTCATTGGCATTGGAATTTCGGCTGTCTGCAAAACTCATATTTTACAATTAGCCTATTACAAATATATCTAAACGACAAAGAAGGTTAGCATCTGGTAATACCATGCAGCAATAACATTAAAACTTTCAAGAAATCTTATTAGATTAGCCTCACATATCGTAATCTTCAATAAACAAAGAGATTTTTTCAACTAGTCTGGCACATCGTAAAATAACTGTAACATTTGCAATCAGCCGGGATTTCCAATTACCTTACGAACAGATTTAACTCGTCTTGTAGAGGGAGCCAATTTATCAAAATGTGAATTATATTCTGATTTTGGAGATTTCTTTATATAAGTTACGAAGGACAAATACGAAGCAACTTAAGTTCCACTTTACTAAAAAACTTCGGTTCATTGCCGAACCATATTATAGGTACTGTGAGCCTATAATATGGTTCATAATTATAGGTACTATGTGTATAATAAAGTGCAAACTTTTTGTAACTTTTATAAAGTGTTAGTTTGAACAATATTTCCATCTAAGTTAACATATTTCCATTCAAGTTCGAACTATGTTTAACTACACTCTAATATAGCATACTCAAGTGTTCTCTTTAACTTTTACCATAATATGGGACAGAGTTTCTTAAGTTCGCAACAAATTCGCAAAAATACAGTTCAACTCTTACCAATGTTTTACTAGAGTACAATTACCATGTTGTAGTTTATTATATATAGTATTATCGTGCAATTACTGAACCATTCTAATTGAATAAATATTATGGTATAATATTTTATGGTCAAAATGTATTCTACGGTTAAATGGATTTTACGGATGATGCATCTAAAGTGCCGGTACTAAAAAATCAAGTTACTTTTTTTTCAGTCAATACACCTTAATCTTAATTTTAAAATAAAACAGGCAATACATAAGATATTCCGATATTAGATAAATGATTAAATGTCTCATAATTCTAAAGCTCTCAAACATGTTATGAAACAAACTTACATCATTTTTATATGAAATTACTCAATGGGGTATGAACGAGCTAGTTGAAAACAAACTATAAATTAGAACAAAGCGGTACTCACTTGTTTAACTTGCCCTTTGAGATGGTAATTAAAATCAACAACCATATTAAATGTATATTTCTTCTATACAAACAAATGTCTTGTTTTAGATGGATTACGATTGGCTGATTAAACAGCGTTTTATACCTTGAAAACATCTGGTTTCAAAAAGTTGCATTGTCGTGAAATGAGCGGCCTTAATGATAAGTACCAATGATAATACCATAAAACTATTTGATGATAAGTCAGATGGAGAATTTAAGGTATTTCTTGATAAGCAAGCGAAGTTACGTTTATAGTGTTCAGATGGTGTAGTGGGGTTGCCAAGATAATAAACATCACATTTATTATATTAAATATAATTAGCCCATGTTTTTGAAGCGAAGGATTATCACCTTTTTACGATTACAAGGAACAATAATAACAGATCTGTCTGAAAACTTTCTTGTAGTTCTTTAAGTAAATAATGTACTTTCTATATCTTTCGTAACGTGTCCTTAAAACAATAAAAATGTGTAGTCGTAGTTTTATATTAAATTCTAGAAAAATTTTAATTTAACAATATCAGTATTAATTTTTAATTTTAGAAATTTAAATCTGTTTGATTTTATACAGGATAAATAGGTTTTTTTCTTAAGTTATTATGTTCATAAAAGAGAAAGGCTAATGACGCTTAAACAGTTATGTAGCGATGAATATAATATACTTTTGTATTTTACTCTTTTTCCTTGGAAATAGAATAGAAATGAATTTGAATTGC